GAAGCTCCGTGCTCGCATTGGCTTTGGCTCCTGTGTGGGCGCCAAACCCCTGTCGTTTCCCCGCCCAGGTTTTTGCTGTGTCCCACGGGGGCGGGACGTTCCGCTCGGGGCAGGGTTCGAGCCGCCACAGCCGGGCCCTGCCATCCCTCACTCACTCACTGCGCGCTGCCAGAAAAGGTCGCAGCTCCCTCGAAGCTGAAATCCGCTTGGCCCCAGCTCCCCGAGTAGGGGCGCTGGATTCCCGCGGAGCGCGTGTTACTTCTGTGACCCGAAAGCCTGCAGCAGTGCTGCGTGCGAGCTGTGTAGAGGGCTGGGGCCGACCGAGCGGTAGTGTGCCTGCCAGCCCTGGGTGAGACCCTGGGTCTGACCAGCACCGAAACACATACAGTGTGGACAGGTTGTAGGCAGGTACTGAAAGGCCACACTGTACGCCATTCGTAGCCCACACTTAATCTGTGTCAACACAAGTAAGAATATATTACAGACTGGCTGGGTTTGGTGATGCATGCCTGTCATCCCAGCACTCAGGAAGCGGAGGCAGGAGGATCGCTATGAGTTCGAGGCCAGCTAGACTAGAAAGTGAGACCCTGTCTAAAGAAAAGAAGGAAAAAGAAAATGAAAAAAACCCAGAAAAGATGTACAGTCAAGTCAGTGATGACATTCATATAAAGTCTTAAAAATCCAGAACAATATTGTGTATTGTTCAGGGATACATACATGGAAAGTAAAAATAAAAATGACTGTCAGAAATGCCACATTCAGTAGAGTAGTTGCTTCAGCAAGACAGGAGGGAAGGGTATACCAGGGCCTTCAACACGTAATGTCTTGTCTGTCTTTCTTTCTTTCTTTCATTTTTTTGTTTTGTGTGTGTGTGTTTGTTTGTTTTGGTACTAGGGATCAAACGTGGGTCCCTGACCTTTCGAAGCGGGCAGCAGCAGGCAGCGAAACCACTGAGCTAAATCCCCGGCCCCTGTGTGTGTTTTTTTTGGTACCTGGGAGAACTCCGGACCTTGTACTTCTGAGGCAGGCAGCAGAACCACTGAGCTAAATCCCTGGCACCACTTTTTTTTTTTTTTTTTTGTATTGTACTGAGGATGGAATCCAGGGCCTGTGTGCTGAGCTACATCTCAGCCTTTTTTTACTTTTTTGTTTTTAAAAATTTTTTTGGTACTGGGGATCAAACTCGGGACCTTGTGGTTTTGAGGCAGGCAGCAGAATCACTGATCTGAATTCCCACCTTTACTTTTTATTTTGAAACAAGATCCTGGTAAGTTGGCTCAAACTTGGGATCCTCCTGCCTCAGCCTCCTGAGTGCTGGGATGACAGGTGTGTACCACCACCATGCCCAGCCTAATTTTTAAAAATTTATTTGGTACCGGGGATCTAACTCAGGACCTTGTGCTTTCGAGACAGGCACAGTGCCACTGAACTAAATCCCCGGCCCTCTAATGTTTTTTTATTTTTTATTTTTTTCTAATGTTTTATTTTTAAGCTAGATGTTGAACACCTACCTGTGTTCCTTATAGTATTATCTAAATCTAGTTCTTTTTTTTTTTTTTGGTACTGGGGATCAAACTCGGGACCTTGTGCTTAGGAGCCAGGTGCCAGAACCACTGAGCTAAATCCCTGGCCCTAGTTCTTTTTAAAAAATCTAGCTTATTAAAAAATATATATAAGCCCTGATTTATATATGTGAAGGTCTCAGAGAGCGAATGGGTCAGTGGCTGTGTGTATAGGATTAGGAGAAGTCTCACTGGGAGTGTAGAGTTTGAAGGTCGCCTTGCAGGTAGATGCAGTTTTGAAAAGGGCTGTGGGTTTACCAGACAGAGCCAGACCGCCCTGCTAGAGCTGAGCCTGGGGTGGGAGGAGCAGGGAGCCAGGGAGAGGTGAGTAATGAACCCCTGGAAACGGAGCACCTGGAGCACCGTGCCCTTTCCTCTGTCTTCATTTAGCCTCAGAGATCATCTCTGTCTCTCCTTTTCTAACTTTTCGCCTGTCCTTCTTGAGGTGCAATAAACTGATTTATTAGAGTGTCCCAGGTTCAGAGCCATCATGGTTTAGTGCAAGAAAATGCTAACAAATTCCCTCTGGGCTTGGATACCTTTGCTGAGGACCATCATTTATCTTCGACTCTCAGCCGTGCCAGCACATCGCCTTGACATCTTTAAAAAATAATCGACTGTGATGTGAAGATTCCCTTCCTGGGTAATTGGTGGCCTCTGCTCCAGAAGCTGCAAGATTGATTAGGTTTTGCTTTCTCTCTGCATGGGTTACTGGCAGGAGGCAAACTCCTTCCGGAGATCCAAGGAGTCTCTCTTATTTTTCTGGCCAGTCAACTAACCGAACTGGTCTGTTGAGATCTCCCTGCAGCATTTATCCCCTGACTTTATGTTTTACTAAGAAGATGGCCGCCAGGTGTGGTGGTGCTCGCCTCTAATCCCAGCACTCGGGAGGCTGAGGCAGGAAGATCGCTGAAAGTTCAAGGCCAGCCTGGGCTACATACTGAGATGCTGTTTCAAATTAAAAAAAGAAGGCTGTGGACTTGGGGAGTTCGTGTACTCACCTTAGTGTATCTGTAAATGCACAACGCAAATCAGAGGTCTTTGCGGGTTATTTTGCTTGTTTGTGCTTTAATTTTTGTTTTGTCTGAGTCCCCTCTGTCTGAGCCAAGCCTTCCCTATACTTTTTCATTCTTATTTTCTTTCTGCCCTTTCCCTCTGCCTTGGAAACCCTTTAAACACATGGAAGTAGTAGTATTTGCTCCTCTAGTGGCACCTGAGGCGGTTTGTTTGCAGAGCCTTCCGGAGAGGGTCAGCTGGGTGGGAGGGGCCCTGTGCGAAGCCAAAACTCACGAGGAGGAAGCTGCCCCGGACGCCTCCTGGTAGAAATCAGGGAGACAGTGATTGAACGGCCTGGCCTGTGGAGCGCTGCTGCGGGGAGCTGAGCTGAGGCTGGCACCGCCTTTCAGCCGGCAGCCTCGTCCCACTCTTCAGGTGCTGCTTACGCAGGGGGCGCTCGCTCGCAGTTTACACCAAACCGGGCGTGCGGGAGAGCCGGCGCTGGGAACCGATCTCCTGACCCCTCGCACTGCCGCCAGGGTCACGCGGAAGTGCAGATATACGCCGTAAAGATTTGTGCAAAGCTAGCGTCCTGTGGACATAGTTTTTGCATCCTTCTTCAGTTAATAGTTTATGTTATGCCTCATTCTTTTAGAAAGATATACGGTTATTTATTTACAGGGCTGGGGATCAAACCCAGGGCCTCATGGGCCCTAGGTAAGTGCTCCAGCCCTGAGCTGCATCCCAGCCCCTCCCCCCTTTTTAGTACTGGGGATCAAACTCGGGACCTTGTGGTTGCGAGTCAGGTGGCAGCAGCACTGAGCTAAATCCCTGACCCTCCCAGCCCATTTTTATATTTTAGTTTGAGACAGGATCTTGCTAAATTGCTTAGGCTGGACCCGAACTTGGGATTCTTCTGCCTCAGCCTCCTGAGTAGCAGGGATTGATGATTGCAGGTGTGCACCACTGTGCCCGGGCTTTCAATATTTTTCTTTAAAAAATCTTTCACTAAAAAAAAATCTCCCATGGGACAGACTGTATCTATTTGGGGGGGCACTTGTGTATGTTGTGTGTGTTCTGATAATTTGTCTTTCTTTTTTTTTTTTTTTAAATGGAACTGGGGATTGAACCCAGGGCTTTTGCACTGAGTTACATCCCTAGCCTTTTAAACATTTGAAAATTTTGAGACAGGGTCTTGTAAAATTGCTAAGTTGCTGAGATTGGGCTCAAACTTGTGACCTCCTACCTCAGTATAGGTACCTCTTTATTCTAATGACTGCTTATAATTTATAGTATATTTCTTCAACTGAGCACGGTGGCGCACGCTTGTAATGCTGTCACTTGGGAGACTAAGGCAGGAGGATTGTTGTAAATTCGAGGCCAGCCTGGGGTACATAGTGAAATCCTATCTCAAAAAAAAAACACATATATATTATATTTCTTCAGTATTTATTGATTCCCTACCATGAACAATCATGAAAATATTATTTATATTTCCTGCTCCTTCTTCCCCATCAGCTTTTAGTTGCTTATATTATTTGCATTAGTTTTTGTTTCTGTCTTAAAATACACTCTATTTCAGGGCCACAGCCTTCTGGTGCTCAGTCCTTGTTTCTTCATAGTGTTGCAACACTGTGCACACGTCCCTGGTGATGGCAGTTATCTTTGCCAGCGTCGCAGTGAGCCGAGTGGAACCAAGCAGTATTACTCTCTGTGCTTTGCTGCTTTTGCCTCACGTGACGTACATAAGACACAGCCGCACTATTGCCTGCAGCCCTGTCGCGTATGTTGTGACTGATGGGTAGTGTCCTCTTATATGAACAAATTGCAGTTTATTTCCCTCCTTACCATTGAGGGGCAACTGAATTATTTCTAGGTGGGGTTGAGAGGAAGCACCGTGCTTTGGGAAGGGTCCTGCCTGTCTCCTGACACAGATGCTCATCTTTCTCACGAGGTGTTGGGAGTGGGGCTCCTGGCCTTGGGGCTCCCTGCGCCCTCCTCTGGCTGTGGAAGTGGTGCTGTCACTGTACACATTGCATGCCATGTGAGCCCCTCGGGCGCCCTGCCCTTGACCTGCCGTGTGGTTCACTGTCCTGGAGCCCAGGGAGCTGTAAGGTAGGCGATGCTCCCACTTTGCAGACGAAAACTCAGGTTCAAGGGGCCGGGCCTGTGGTGCTTGTTCACAATGGTGTGGATGCTCGAAGTGGTATCTCCAGCTCTGCTGCCCCTCTCTGCAGATGGCATGGAAGGCACTGGAAGCCCCCAGGAAATCGCACGTCGTCAGACCCTTCCTGGGGGTAGACTGTGGTGGGCATGGCTTGGGTAGTTGCTCTGGGAGGGAACCTGCTTCTCCGGGTTCCATCCAGTTTTGTAACATGGATAGTTCTCAGCCAGTGCATTCAGGTTCCTGACACCTTGCTTCTTTCTTTTCTCTTCTTTTAGTATCCAGCCTGTGTATGGAGCACAACACCCTCCTTTGGATCCTCGACTCAGCAGAAAGTAAGTCAGGGCATTTTTCCTTCCATCCATCAGTTTTCTCTATCACCCCTGCACTGTCTCCTCTGCCCTACTTTGGACCAGAAGGTGCACAATCGTCTTTCTTCCAGATGGTCCAGTACTAACTCGGAAAACTCTCTTTAGGTTTTGTTTTGTTTTGTTTTGTTTTTGTGGTACTGAGGATTGAACCTAGGGCTACATCCTCTGCCCTTTAAAATTTTTTTTTATCTTAAGCAGAGTCTCATTAAGTCACTCAGTTGCCAAGCTGGGCCCAAACTTGGAACCCTCCTGTCTTGGCCTCCAGAATGCTGGCATATGCCAGCAAGCCTGACTTCGAAAGGTCCTTTTGACTTAAATATTGTCCCTGTAACCAGATGATGATGATCTCCTCCCATCTTCTAGCTGGACATTAGGTTTCTGGGGCTTGTTGCTTCTGGATAGGAGCAGGACTATCTCCTCTCCCATGTTTTCATGGTGAGAAGCTGGGTGGATGGAACAGCTGTGGCCTGAGCTCGGCAGCCCCTTTCCCTAACACACTCAAGAAATCCCAGCCCACATGCACATTTAGAAGCTGCCTGGAAGTTTTTTCTCTGGTTAAACTCTTAAGTTATTTTCAAATACAACAGCAAGTGTGGATAGACCCAAGATGTGTGGGTGTGCATCTGTCCCCCAGGTGTCACTTCAGCTCATCTTTCTCTCATGGGCCATCCTCAGCCATCGAGACCGTCCATGAGGAGGTCCATCACCTTCTCAGAGTTTCTGTGGGTGTGCTTTTTGTTGTTGTGTTTTCTTGAGTCAGGGTCTCGCTGCATAGCTCAGGCTGGCCGCAAACTCACAGCGATCCTCCTGCCTCAGCCTCCCGAGTGCTGGGATTGCAGGTATCTGCCGCCATGCCCGGCAATTTGGGGGTGGTTTTATTTTATTTTATTTTTTTGGGTACCAGGGATTGAACTCAGGACCTTGTGCTTGTGAGGCAGGCCACTGAACTAAATCCAAGTCCCTCTGGGCGTGTTTAAAGAGACTTATCTTGGGAAAAGCTGGTTTGTGGGGAACACCAAATGATTTGGGAAGTAAAGGCCTCAGTTCTCAGCCTTCTGGGGTGGCCCTTTCTTCCTTCACAGCCATGGGAGATACAGATAGCGTGTGCTTTTGATTCCAGCTCTGTGCCCTTCTGGAAAAGGTGGGCTGTGGAGACAGTGGGAAGGGCGGGCCGCCGGGGCTTGAGGGTGGCAAGAGGGTTTCAGGGCAGGTATCATAGTGGTGGGTTCGCGTCCTTGTGCGTTTGTCCAGACCCCCAGGTCACACAATGCTGTGAGTGAACTGAACACTGTGCAGCCTGTGAACCTCGCTGTGGAGTCCGGAGGGGCTGTGTTTTCGCAGCGGGGGGATGCACAGGAAATCCAACCTTCCTCTTGATTTTGCTGTCATCTTTAAACTCCTCTAAGTAAACAAAGTCACTTGAAAAAAGAAACAAGATCATATGCATGAAAATATTTTGAATATCTGGAAAAGTGCTAGCTCAAATATGCATCGTTAGTATTTTTTTGGTTTTTATGTATTTTTTAATTAGTACGTATTTGGCATACATAATGATCACATTCATCATTGGGGACTTGTACCTGTACATAATATGTCTTAATTCTTCCATTGTTAGCATTCTAATATTATTTATTTATTTATTTATTTATTTTTGGTACTGGGATCGAACTCAGGACCTTGTACTTATGAGGCAGGCAGTGGAACCACTGGGCTAAATGCCCAGCCCTCTAATATATATATATATTTTTAAGTCCAGAATCTTGTTTTATTATTATCTGTTGCAATACATGCAGTTTACAGTCATCTTGGGGAGTGGTCCATGTACATATTAGCTTGGTTCTTTTTAATTTTTAATCTCCATCTCCTTCCCTCCTGCCTCCTTTCCTTCCTCCTCTAAATTACTTTCCCCCATTTTTGTTCTTGTTGATATTATGAAACTTATCTAATTTTTATGACATAAAGTGTTTATATTCATTGAGGCTATTCGAGTCTTATGCATAGCGTGTCTTTATTCCATTTATTTTTCCTCTCCCTCTCCTGTCATCCACGTTTTCTTGGACTTCTTCCCATCTCCAAGAGATCCATCCCTTTCTGTCCATCTTTTGTTGCATTCTGTTTTGTAGCCACTACTGTTTCCTGCTTTTTTTTCCTTTGTGATAGGGTTTTGTTATATAGTTCAGGCTGGCCTTGAGCTCACTATGTAGCCCATGCTGACCGCAAACTCGGGATCCTCCTGCCTCAGCCTTGCAAGGACTGGGATTACAGATGTGCACCCCCACGCCCAATTTGCTTTGCTTTTGAATGTGCTGACATGAAACTGAGTTGCTGTAAACTTCCACAGCTCACTGTAATCCTGAGGGACAGCCCAGAGATTGTGGGGCACCCTGCCGGTGGCCCGATGCAATGGTCTTTATTACTTAAGCATCAGAAGCTTGAATGCTTGTGGCCAGAAGGATTCTGATCCAGCCAGGATCCATCCTAGTGCATTTTCTTTTTTTTCTTTTTAATGGTGTTGTCAGGAGTGTATTTCTTTCTTTTCTTTCTTTTTTTTGGTACTGGAGATCGAACTCAGGTCCTTCTGCTTGCTGCGAGGCAGGTGGCGGAACCACTGAGCTAAATCCCTAGCCCAGGAGTTTATTTTTTTTAAGGCAGTTTTAGATTCACAGCAGAATTGTACCTAGCGCATTTTCTAGTTGTGCTCGATACACATGTGGTTCACATGTGAATCCCCTGTCCACCGCTGGGGTCCCTCCCATGTCACGTTTGGATCAGGGTCACCATACTTGTCTGCACCTGTCCTCAGTTGAGTTTGCAGCCTTCTGCATCCAGGGCACATATTCCAGAGTGTCACACATCCCAGAGAGCCAAGGCAACTTTCTAGAATTTGTTTCCTCACCTGTTAAGGACATGAGGGCGCCCTCACCTCACGCATCAGAGCAGCAGCCGTGCTTGCAGGAGAAGTCATCGCTGAGCTTTGCAGATGGGAGGAATGTGTCCCTGAATTAATTGCTTCCCTCTTTCACCTACCTCGGGTTCGGCATTAATGGTCCACAAAGTCTGCAATGTGGGGCAACATCCAGGTCTGCACCTAACTGTTTTACAATTCCAGATTGCTGCTGTAAAACGTTTATGGCCCTTTTAGTGCCTTTGTTGGGACATTTTATTGCTTCCTCCGCTACATGGTTGCTACATGGTTATCGCTCCACTTGGGGCCATTGTTAATTACCACGCGGCTGATCCCTGTCACAGCGGAGGCTGGACATCAGGTCCTTGATTACCTGACTGCACAGGCCGCGAGTCTTGTGCTGTCTGTGTATATTGACTTCAGTTTGCCAGATTATTACTATTAGCAAGAATATTGCCTGCAGTAATTTTTGTCACTCCAATAAAACTGGTCTCATTGCTGAGCAGCCCTCCTGGCTGCCTGATGCCATGATAGGCTTCTTTTTTTTCTATATTTTTTTTCTTCTGCAGTACCAGGAATCGAACTTAGGACCTTGCACTTGCCAGGCAGGCGCGGTGCCGAGGCTTCGTGATTGATATAAAGTATGAAACTCTCACCTCCAAGTAAGAAAACTAGGTCACATGAAGCCACACTAGTTACTAAATAACTGGATTTATTTGAACATTGCTAAATTTCTCCAGTTGCTTCACATCACTTACTGAATAGAATCAGCCAGGCATTTCCAACACTTGGGAGGCTGAGGCAGGAGGATCGCTGTGAGTTCCAGGCCAGCCAGGCTACATAGTGAGTTCAAGGCCACCCTGGACTGCATAGCGTGACCCTGTCTCAAAAAACCACACATATAAAAAAAATGAAATATTCAAGTGCATAAAAAGGTATAAAGAAAAATACAACAAACATCCCTATGCCCACCACTGTGTTGACTGACTGCTTCAAGGTTTGTTCTTGCTGTTGTGGGACTGAGCCCAGGGGCTGTGCGTGCCGGGCAAGTGCTCTCCTGCTTGGCCGTGCCCCAGCCCTGAAACTGAGCTTCTTGATTCTTGCAGTGTTCATGTGCTCTTGACGCAAGTGTCTTGTGGCTGGCAGAGCATCCTGCACAGACACCACGGCCCAGGCGGCGCTGGGAGGACCCGGTAGGGGCCAGGGGCAGGCGCGCCCTCGCTGTCTGCAGACCAGCAACTTGCCTCAGTCCATGAGTGGATTTTATACCTGAGATATTTATTCCTTGTTGCTTCAGAGTCTTTTCTTTTCTTGGGTCTCCTGTTTGCTTCTGATTGTTCTTTCAGTAGGCTTATGAGTCCTCTTACTGTGAGAGATCGATGAAGGTCAGCTACCAACCTGTCCTGATTACTAAAGGCATTCTCATTGTAGGAAACGTGGTTGATGCAGAGAAGTATAAGAATGAAGTTAAATATCATCTACAATCCTGTGGCTCAGAGATAAGCCCTGTTAACATTTTCAAGTCATTTCTTCCTGGTCTTTTCTGTACATATTGTGTTTTGACTTTTTTTTTTTGGTACCAGGGATCGAACTCGGGACCCTGAACTTTGGTAGGCGGTGGCACCACTGAGCTAAATCCCCGGCCCTGTGCATATTGTTTTTTAAAAGTACAGGCATCATAAGAAATGTGTACTAATCCTATTCCCCTGTACTTAATTGAGATGGTTTTTAGGGTTGTTCAGTAGCCTTTAAGCAAGGATTTGTTAAAATGTTATTAGTATGTTTGCAGCGCAGCGTGCAGTGTTCATTTTGGGAATTGGTACGTGCATGGAACGTAACTGGGTCCTTTCCAGTGTCTTCATCTCCCTCTCCCTTACCTCTCCTCCATCCCCTTCCTCATCTCCAAGGATCTGCTTTCTCGTTTCCGACCATCTCTCCCTTATTTTGTTAATTCATTTGTTTGTTTATATTTTAGAGTTCTCATATAAGAGAAACCATGACTTAACTTTCTGTGTCTGACTTACCCAGCATGATGGCCTCAGGTTCCATCCATTTGTTTGCAGATGACATGACTGCATTCTTCTTTATGGCCGAGTAATATTCTGTATGTACATCCCCCATTTTCTCTACTCATTCGCTTGTTGGCAGGTAATGAGGCTGTTTCCTGAGCTTAGCTACCATAAACATGGGTGTGCCCATGTCACTATAGTCCGCTATTTTTAGATCTTTCAGAATGCACCCAGGAGGGACTCAGGTGGATCAAACAAAATGTAACATTCCTTGGGGTGGCTATAATGTATCTAATCATTTCTAATTTCTTTTTTTTTTCTTAAATCTTTATCATTTCTAATTTCTAGATGTTTGTTTTATTAGCAATTTTTAACCAAAATATGTAAGAGTAGTTACTTTTAAAGCTGTTTCAGATCTTCTTTATCGGCACCTGACTTTTTTTATGGTCAGAGATAATGAGCCATTCTGAGGCTCATGAGTGCTGCAGGACTGCTTTCTGAGGATTGTGCCCCCGCCCTGCGGTATGAGACAGCGGGGCTCCCTTACCTGCCCAGCACTGAAGAAACTGACTCTTTGAGTTGTTGCTAATGTACTGGGTGAGGTCGCTTGTCTCCATTCCGCATGAGCTGTGTCCTTGAATTCTTGTTTCTTCTCTGTTTTGTCTGATGAATTTTCCTTTTCTCCATATGAGGCTGGTGTTTGAAAGCAATGCTTTAATATTTTTCTTTCTTTTTTTCCCAGTACTGAGGATTGAACCCAGGGACAATCTGCAATTGAGCTACATCCCCAACGCTTTTTGTTTTTTAAGGCAGTTTCTCATTAAGTTGCTCAGGTTGGCCTCAAATTTGAGATCCTCCTGTCTCAGCCTCTCTTGTGGCTGGGATCACAGGTGTGTGCCATCATAGAGGGACAGCTTTCAGTGATAACTTACTCCCTTTTTTAGTGTTTATACTGGGGACAATTTTATGAGCTGTAGAAGTTAACCAGACTGTTTATCCATATTAATAATGGAGACGGTCTTTTACAGTAGGATTGGACCATCTGAATATGGACCAGGTTAGCAGACCACTCCCCTCTGCCTTGAGGAGAGGGGATTTAGCTCTTTCGGCAGAGCTTCGTTTTGCACTCGCTGTAGAGTGGCCCCCACCTCACTGCTGGGGCGCAGTGAGGCCTTTGAATGGTGTCGGTACCCCACAGTCCCAGTCTGTTTCCTGTCACCTTACACGAGGCTGTCCCGCTGTGTCCCATCTATTAGATACGACACAGTTAGAAATGTCCCCATCAAATGGATCTTGGAACCAGAAGCTCTCGAGTCTCCCAGCGTCAGTCATAGGCCTCTACATTTCTGCCATATTTACACTATTATTTACTACGTATATTTAAAAGTACTCATTTTCTGTACTCAGATTTATTTTTTAAAATAAACCTTATCAATTGTCTAAATAGAAAATCAACGTCATTTGCCATAAATAGAATATAATCTAAAAAATAAGCATGGTGAAAAACAAACGATCCTATTAAATTTTAAGCCACATCTTGTTGCTTACAAATATCTTTTTTTGTTTTGGTACCAGGGATTGAACTCTGGTCGTTGCGCTTGTGCAGCAGGCGGCAAAACCACTGAGCTAAATCCCCAGCCCCCTTATAAATATCTTGATCCTGAAGCTCCCCTCACTTTGGAGAGAGAGAGAGAGAGAGAGAGAGAGAGAGAGAGAGAGAGAGAGAGAGAGAGCGCTAAAGGCAGAGTAGCACCAAACTCACCTCTAGGCCACCGGCAGACCTGGACATCATTTTTAAAAAGACTGTTTTAGCCAGGTACAGTGGCAGTGCCTGTAATCCCAGCTACTCAGGAGACTGAGGGAGGAAGGTTGTAAGTTCAAGGCCAGAGAGGGTATTTGCAAGCCTGTGTCCCAAAATAAAAAGTAAGAAAAGGGCACCCCTGCATTCAACTCCTAGTCCTGGAAAAAAAGAGAAAAAAGGAATGCGTTTGCTTTGGTACTTAAATCCACATTTGTGAACTCCCTAAAATTACCTACTTTTCCCAGGGGTTTATGCCTCCGGTGAGGGGTAGTTTCAGCGACGTTGCCGTAATGTGCTACTCTGAAATCTCAGTGGGTAGCACAACAAAGGTTTATTGCTGGCTTGTGCTTTGTATCCTACATGGAGTGGATGGGTAGAGGCGGGCTCAGCTCCATGCTCCTTGGGGACCCCAGCTGAAGGGGCCCCAACATCGCGGACTTGCCAGCCAGCACCCCGGAGGCGGTCCTGGCGGAGCCACACCCACGGGCATTCTCTGGCCCAGCACCGTCGCTCACGTCCCCTCCAGCACAGGGCCCCAGCGCCCCAGTGCCAGGGGCTAGGCATGGCGAGGTACCCGGGAGATGTGGGGACACTGTGCCACCTCTGTCCTCCGGGATAGTCTGGGTGCATCCAGACAAGCAGCGGATGTGGGCGGTGGCTGTGGGAAGAAGCAATGATTGCGTGTGGTCGTTTGCTACACTTCTGTCCCTCGGTGGTCAGACCTGTCCAGCAGTCCTGGGTAATGGTTTCTCCTTTCTCAAAGTTTCATTAAAGAACGGTCGAAAGTGAACACAGTCCCTCTGAAGAATAAGAAGGCCTCCAGTTTTCACGAGTTTGCCCGGAACACCAGTGACGCTTGGGACATTGGCGATGATGAGGAAGAGGACTTTTCCTCGCCTTCTTTGCAAACTCTGAACTCAAAAGTTGCTTTGGCCACTGCAGCCCAAGTCCTGGAAAACCACAGCAAGCTTCGAGTCAAGCCAGAGCGGTCCCAGTCAACGACATCCGACGTCCCCGCCAGCTACAAGGTCATCAAGTCCAGTAGCGACGCCCAGCTCTCCAGGAACTCCAGTAAGTCCTCCTGCCCTGTGCGGCGGCAGCCCCCAGCAGCGCATTCGAAACCAAAACGACTTTTCTTTAGGGCATCACTCAGCTCACCCACGGGATGACAAAAAGCAAGCTCCAGCCTGAGGTATGACATCTGTGAGCCTGACCCATCACAAGCTGTCCTGCCCTGCCTGTGACCAGGGCCTGCACCTCCTGACGTTCAAGTGTTGCCGCCACCTCCTCCCCTGCTGCTGCCTTTCCCTGGGGTGGGATTGGACTGCTCTGTGTCGCTTTAGGCCAGGCAGGCTTAAGAGTCCTGGCAAAGGCCGCTAAAGCTCTCAGTGGCTGGACTTCACAAGTGGCTGGCATGGGTCCTTGACCTCCCAGGCCCCTGGGAACAGGCACACGCCTGAAGGGGTCTCTCCCTGTTACCGAGGGAGCAGCAGGTGCTGGAAGGTGCCTGGCCACAGCTCCCTGGCTGTTAACATGCCTTGGGCAGGGTGCGTGGGGCAGGCCTGTCCTCTCTCTTGTCAGGAAACTGGCCCCAGTGACTGGCTGGAGTGAGGGCGAATTTGTAAGAAGTGTGAGGACTTTCAGCGCAATCTTTTTAAGTTTCTTTTGCTGTGTGTGATGCCGCACTGGGGGTTTTGTGGAAGTGGGTTATTCTGAGCTGGAGAGGGAAGTGCCGTGGTTCTAGTGAAAGTTAAAACAGCTGGCTGCTAATGGATGAAAAGGAAGTCAAACTTCAGAGGCCTGGAGCATGTCCTGGCTCCGGTTCTAAGGGAATTTCTTGAACAGCCTCAGACTCAGCCTGACATCACTCGATCCTCAATCTGGCTGCAGGGTTGTACAGCCACTGTGCAGTCATTTTCCCTCACTGATTGCGGTGCCAGCTGAGTCAGCGGCATCCTGCCCAGACAGACCCTCCATAGCTGCAGGCCAGGGAAAGTGTCTGCTCCCCAGGCTTGGGGTCTCCAGAAGCTCCCAGCATGAGGAAGTCTGCCTTTGTGTAGCCAGGGCCCCCGGTGCAGTCCCTGAATGTCTGTCCTGGCTCCGCAGCATGTGGGCCGTGCTTTCTAGGCCCCAGTTGTTCCTGAAGGCGGCCCAGTGAGCGTCCTGCGGCAGTTTTTGTAAGCTTTCTAGTACTGTTGGCTGGTTAGTATTCACTGTTGTTATCGTGACCACTGCTTTTCAAGGCCCAGATATATGAGGAATAAGAAATAACCATGAAAGAACAAGCCTAGTTAAAAGCTTAATTTTTTTGGTGGAAATAAAGTAAATAAGGGCTTTGGAGTCAGGCATACCTAAGGTGTCATGTCAGCTGTCACTTAGAGTTTCCTTCCTTTCTCCAGGCTGCTAAGTGGAGTTAAGTTCTCAGCATAGGTCGAGAGGTCCTGTGTCAGGTGACCCACAGGATGCCTGCGTGTGCCAGGCACTCAGTGAGTGTTAGTCCTCTACTGCTTGCTCCTCCTACCATCATCTGCTTCAGCAGGAGCACATGTCCCTGTGACTTCAGTCACTTTGTGGTACAAGTCAAGGCGGTTCCCTGTGTCGGCGGGCCCAGGGCTTATGGAGAGCAACCTGCTCTTAGCCCCATGGCACCGGAGTTCCCAGAAGTCTTTGCAGTATCTGGGCTCAGTTTGCAGCAGGAGCTGGACACGGGCAGCCGGGGTTGAGGTTTCTCCTGATCCATGCTCATCCTCCGGCCATTCTCTTTCTCTTTCAAACGATCTCAGGTGACACATGCCTGAGGAACCCACTCCACAAACAGCAGTCACTCCCACTCCGACCCATCATCCCCCTCGTGGCCCGGATCTCGGACCAGAATGCTTCCGGAGCACCCCCCATGACAGTCCGGGAGAAAACTCGCCTGGAAAAATTCCGCCAGCTTCTCTCGAGCCACAACACTGACCTGGGTGAGTCCAGGCGGCAGAACTCTTGGTGACTGGACTTCTCAGGGCCCTGGACACCAGTGCTCTTATCCTCCCTTCTTTTACCCTCCCAGCCTCTCCCTGGGGCGGCCAGGGCGGTGACACGCAGGTATTACGCAGAGGCTGCTGCTAGAGATTAGGGGCCGAATTAGATGGGACTTGTTTCTGGGGCCTGTAGACCATAGTGCAGCTCCTCTAGCTTCCGTGTCTCCTGCCTCAGGGTGACTCTTCCCGAATCTGCACCCTGGGCCTTCAGCTCACCTCCTCTCAGGGCATGGCTGAGCTCCCTGCTCAGGGTTGCTGTGGGGCTGTCCGGGGCCTGGCGATGGTGGCGGCAGTGGTGACGGTGCCCGTAGGAGGTTGGTTTTAGGGCCCCTGTGGGAGGATCTAATCCCACCAGGCTGTCTTCTGTTTGCAGATGAACTGAGGAAGTGCAGCTGGCCAGGGGTTCCCAGGGAGGTTCGGCCGGTGACCTGGAGGCTGCTGTCGGTGAGTCCTGCCGCCGTGGGGCGCTCTCCCCTGATGGGGGCTCTCACTTCGCCCCCCGTCTGGCCTGCTGCACACCACAGCTGGGGCTGCAGTCCGCTTCTGTGTGCAGAGCCACCTCCTTGCCTGTTCACCCCGACACGTGCAGGGGGGATGTTCTTGCTCTCACACTTGGAGGTGAGCACAAGCTGACACTTGTGGTCGTCTTCTCAGCCTTCTTAACGGCCAGGAGGCGCAACAGAGCCAGGAGGGGGACCCCAGCACCCCTGAACACCACTCCTTCTCAGTGGGAGTAGCCAGGCGGCTGGAGCCCACTCTGCAGCTGTGATAAAGTGGCACCCCCCACCTTGCACCAAGGACAGAGCACTGTGCTCACGGAGGCTGTGACTTGGGCCCAGGCTCCTCCCACTAGCTACATCCGCCCTCCATGGTGCTGGCTTAGGAGCTGTGTGGCACTCATCAGAGGAGCACAGGGCCCTGGGGAGTTGCCTGGCATCCTCTGCCCACTGTGGATCGCATTCAGTGAGGAAAGGGCAAATGCTGCGTGGCCAGAACCCAGGAGGGATTCACCCGTCCTCTCGGCAGCTTTCCCTCTGCTCTTTGATAGTTTCCAAGCCACTGCTTAGGCTGAAGTAAGGGTACGGACTCATCTGCCAGTGTCTGTCCCCAGCTGATGGCAGGCTTATCTGCAGGGCTACCTCCCAGCCAACACAGAGAGGCGGAAGCTGACCCTGCAGCGGAAGCGGGAGGAATATTTTGGCTTCATCGAGCAGTATTATGACTCTCGAAATGAGGAGCATCACCAGGACACCTACAGACAGGTACAGGGCCACTATCTCTCTGCTTGTCTGTCAGTCATCCGGGTAAGGGGTCTCCTGGTAGTGCCCCGGGTAGAGGTTTTGCAAATCTTCAGGCTGCACATGAAGTGCATTTTCAGGACTCCTTCCCCTCTGTTCGTCCAGCAACTCTGATTTTAGGTGGTAGAGGTCTTTTGCACTGGTCAGTGGCAGTGCTTCTCCGGCCTCACTGTACAAACCAGTTCCCCTGGGCCGTGCTGAAACCCCACCCAGAGACCACGAGCGGTGCAGGCACCCACCATGGGTAGAGGTCCAGCTGCTGGCAGCTCCCGGCGTGGAGAGGGCAGGGGGGTCCAGGGCTGGGGGAGGTGGGCAGGCAGCTCTCTCCAGCCAGCCCAGAACTGCAGTATCCTCTGCTGCTGCCCTGCAGCCACTGTCTTTAGGACCAGTTGGCTGGGCATTGGAAAGTCCCCAGGCAAACCCAACACAGTGACATCTGGTCCCGTGGCCCTTCCCCACTTCTCATGTCTCCTTGCTGCATATGCAGGTCCTGGTGGTCCCCTGTCCTGGCACATGTGTGTCATGTCAGGCTCCTCATTCTTGGGAGCTGATTATGAGTAGGATTTGGAAAGAAAGGTGCACTCTTGAATCACACTGGTCCGGAAGTGCAGCCTGGAGAGGCTGAGACTGCAGAGAAGTGACAGGGGCCCGGGCGCCTCTTAGGCAGTGAAGCCTGTCACTGTGTCCCAAAAGTGGTTAATTTGGGGAGGCTTCCTGGCTCTCGTGGAAGCAGGCAAGGTAATGGGACTTCTTAGTTTCTTTCTGTGTCAGTCAGTTCTTTCTAAAGATAAATTGTGCTCTAGCTTTTACTCCTTTGCTTCCCATTCCCTAAGTAAAAAACTTGTCTAAAGAACACACTGCATTTTTGTTTTTGGTTGTGGCCTCTCTTTCAGATTCACATTGACATTCCGAGGACGAACCCTCTCATTCCATTGTTCCAGCAGCCCCTCGTGCAGGAGGTGAGGAATCGCTTAGCCTTCTCTGCTGCTTCTCCCTGTCACTGGTGGCCCATGTTAAAGTGGTCCTGGTACAGGACACTTCCTGTCATCCCATTTGATCTTCAGAACAGGCACACTGCCCAGCACCCTCCGAGAGGCTGAGAAACATGCACAGCATCTCAAAGCTACCTAGTAACACCGAAGAACCCACATCTTAGAATTCCTACTCCTAAGTTTTCTCTAATTTACCAAACTGGAAGTATTGATTTTGTAAAAAAAAAAAAAAAAAATGGTAAAATATGCATAGCCCGGCATGGTGACACATGCCTATAATCCTAGCACTCAGGAGGCGGAGCCAGGAAGATTGCTGTGAATTCAAGGCCGGCCTGGGCTACATAGTGAGTTCAAGGCCAGCCTGAAACTACAAAGCAAGACCCTGTCTCAAAAAACAAAAACAAAACAGCATAACCTACATAAAATGTGCCATTCTAACCATCTCTTAGCACGTGATGCTGTGGCATTGAGTATGTTCACACTGTGGTCACTGCTGCCAGCTGTCTCCAGATCTTGCTTCATTTTCCAGACTGAAACTCAGTACCCCATAAATAGCAAACCCCATCCCTACCACCACTGTCTGCCTTTTGTCTCTACGAATTTGACTGTTCTAGGCACCCTAAGTTGGCAGAATTATGCAGTATTTGTTGTTCTGTGACTAGCTTAACTCACTTAGCATATTTTCTTTTTTTTTTTTAGTGAGACATGGTCTCCCGATCTAGTTCACCCTGGCCTTAAACTCACTGTGTAGCCCAGGTTGGCCTCGAATTCATGGCAATCCTCCTGCCTCAGCCTCCTGAGTGTTAACATGATATTTTCAAGGTTTACCCAGGCTGTGGCTGGGGGCAGATTTCCCCTCCGAGATGTGCATGGACACATGTCGCCGGTCTGTCTGGGGGTGCTTCCTCCTCTGGCTGTGGTACAGGATGCCACAGTGAGCGTTGGGGATGCAGATACCTGTCTGCGTCCCTTCTTAGAGTCTGTTTGGGATTAAATCCAGGAGTGAAATTAATAGCGATACTTTTGAGTCCTAATGAATTAGTGAAGCAGGTGAAGGTCTCAAGGGAACTCTTGTCTTGTGACCCGAGCTGTTTGTTACGACAAACTCCTTGAGATCAGGGATTTCTGTGGGAACGCTCCGGCAGCCAACACAACACCGAGTGTTAGTGCTTTTTGGTTTTTGGGTTTTTTTTTTGGTACCAGGGATCAGACTCGGGCCCTTGTGCTTGCGCAGCAGGCAGTGAAACCACTAAGCTAAATCCCCGGCCCTGTTAGTGCTTTTTGAACTGAGCTTTCGGTCCTCCTTGTAATCGAGAAGGATGGCAGTTTTAATGCTCCCCAAAATTGCTATTTGGCTTTGAATGATATTCATAATTCTGTCTACTAGAGATGTCCTCTCTGGCAGGATCCCTCCTGATTTGCCGATGCCATAAGGAAGATTTTGAGGGTGACACTGTTATTTTACCTGTAAGATTCAGCTCCTGGGCGGCTAAAAATGCATCTGGGATCCTTGTCATCATCCCATTCGGTTTCCCACAGCTCAGCCCTGCTTAGTCCTCATTTGAACTTGCTGATGTTCGGCTCCTTAGCCTTTCCTGGTGCACAGGGACAGTAATTTGTTGAGGCTCTTTTAGGAATGGAACCTGAATCCAAATTTGGAAAGTTATTTGATTCTTTCCAGTTTTTCTTCAATCACTGTTTCATGTAGCAGGCTGTAGTCCTCTTAAGCAGAGTAAAAATCCCAATGAAGGAGCAAAGCACCAGCTGGGTGTGGTGGCACACAGCTGTGATCCCAGCACTCCTGGAGGGTGGAGCAGGAAGATTGCAGATTCCAGCCCTGCCTGGGGAAATTAGCAACTTAGCAAGACCCTGTCTCAAATACTTAAAACATAAAAATAAATAAAAAGAATGTAGCTGAGAATGTAGCTCAACTGTGCAAAGGCCCTGGGTTCAGGCCCTAGTACTGAAAGAAATAGGGGCAAAGAATTGGGTGACGATGAATACTGAATACTGAAAGGCATGCTTTGCAAATCTGAGATACTTGAACTTTTTCCTATAGTAAGTCAGAATTACCCAGGTTAGAAGAGGATTGTCTACCTCTCCTGCGTGTAGGGTGGGTTATTCTGGACTTCCCCTGGCTCAGGGCCCACGTTCTCCCCAGTAGCTGCTTGCTGCTCTCTGGTGCACAGGGGCACTGCACAGAATCCTGGTTTGAACAGCCAGCGCCCCTGAAGGTGGCCGTCGCTGGAGCCAGTCCCAGGCCTCTGTGTGGTCACGAAGGGCTGACAGCCCGCGGCGCAAATCCTTCGAAGTTCTTCCCAGAGGAGAGGAGGGTTGGTTGGCGTGGTGTATGTTTTGTGGTGCTGGGGGAACCGAGCAGAGCATCGGGCACACGCCAGGCCCCTGCTCAGCCACTGAGCCACACCCTGCCCCCAGTGGCCTCCCCACCAGGCTCCAGATGACACAGGCCGGCCTGGGCAGAGGACCCGCAGGGCGGGCATTGCTGAGACTCCAGGACATGGTGGGTCTAGCTTGGGATCCATGTGCGAGGAAGGGAGAGAGGCCATTCAGCAACAGAGGAAAGTGTGAGGGGCTGGTACCAGCAACCGAGGGTGCAGTGCTCTTCCCCCACCGGAGAGCAAGAGGTGACTCTAGAGAGGCAGAGGCCTGGTCCTCACCACCAGCAGCAGGGTTTCTTGGCTCTCTGACAGCTGACTGCAGCCCCAGCTACCCATGACAGGGGCTGAGAAACACCCTTTGTTGTGTCCATAGATTGGATTGTTTAGTGTAACCATTTCCAAAACCGTGGAACCATTTGCTTTCTCTTGGTTTCCCTGGGAGACCGCTGGCTTGGGAGCCTCTTTAATCTAACCGGGGAGCAGACTCTGTGTGCTGTGGGGCCCTGTAACCTTCTGTCCCCCACACACGTGCCGCCCTCCACTCGGTGTCCCTCTGGTGTGGTTCACAGAGATAAGAGGCCCCCGGACAAAGCCATCCTTCCCATCAGGCCCTGGGGCTTGTGGTCCCCGGCTGAAGCCAAGCAGTGGGTATCCACGGGCTGAGAGAACCAGAGGAGGAGTTGAGTCCGAATGAAAGCAGGGGGAGTACAGTTGAATGGGACAGGGCAGGACTCTCCAAAGGGCCTATGAAGACCTGATCTGCGTCCCCAACCTAGGCCTCTGGGGTTCAATGACAAAGGTACCAAACCCCAGATGCTTTCCTGAGGGGCTGTGGAGATTTCTCTCTCTCCGAGTCCCAGCTGTGTGAAGCCATTGGATTTGGTTTCGCTGTGTTCCATCGCCCGCAGGTGTCTGGGCTGCACCCTGTGGTGGGAAGGGACTTCCGCATGTCTAGTCTGTCCCGTGTTCCTGTCGGGCTGGGGGAGACCTGAATCTACATCTCCTGCCTTCTCAGCAGGGAGAGAGGCGAGGGTGGTGGGGAAGGTTGTTGCCTCCTCATATCCTGCAGTGACCAGAAAAGATTTAGAAAAGGCAGCAGAACTGGGTGCTCTGATGTGTTCCTCCTGGAAACGGAGAAGCACCGCGCACACAGGCGAATGCAGGATCGATCAGTGGCCCCATAGCGAAACTTCGGCTAAGTCATTTGTGTCGCTTTCCTTTCCCAGTTTATGTCACAGTAACCAGATACGGCAAAGGTGAATAAGCGGCAGGAAGTATACAGAACAACTAGTGTCAGAGACTCTTTGTATTGATATTTTTCCTCTGTTCCACAGTATTTTAAAATTTCCCTAAAAATTCTGTACTAACCCTGGAATAAATTGTGAAGTAGGTAAGTGGAGGGAGAGAGTGTGTCCCTGTGATTTAACCCTGTGTCTCCTTTCTCATTTTCCCAGATCTTTGAAAGAATTCTGTTTATTTGGGCCATCCGACACCCTGCCAGTGGGTACGTCCAGGGAATTAATGACCTGGTCACTCCGTTCTTTGTCGTCTTCCTCTCAGAATATGTGGGTAAGAAGCATGAGTACCAAGCTGAACAGCTATTGCTCTTTCTTATCTGCCATCTGTTTGTCTGTTTTTCCCGCGAGTGCAGCCGGGGGATCTGTCTTGCTGCAAATGAGGCAGATCGAGGCTTTGGAGTATACAGCGAAACCTCTTTCAACAGCAGTAGCAGCCTGGAATTTCTCTCTTGAGATGATCAGAGCTCACCTAAAAAGATCTGCCTTGTAAGAATGACCCCACTGCTGTATTTATGTTCTGCATAGACAGATGATGGTTAGATGGCTTATTTGAAGTTACTTCAGGATTATTTTGAACTTGGACACAGGCAAGGGTCCACCGTGAACACTGGCACTTGAGGTTGTGCACCAGGCCTTGTCCTTGGGAGCAGGGTGCGGGCGAGTAGAGGAGGAGAGGCTGTGGCCCTAGAGGCGATGAGAGGGGCCGGCGTGCGCCGAGGGTCCGATCCCCCCCTTGTGCCTCCTTCACCTCCTACCCACTGTGTCTGTCACTTGGGAGCGTGGTTAATTTCACGGTGTTGGTGGTGCAGTCTTTCTTCCTCCAGCTTAAATTAAGCAGAGTCATGAAGCTAAGGGTTCTCTGTTTCTCCTCTTTGATTTCCTTGATCTCTTTGCTTCAAGCTTCACAGGAAATCCCACCTGTCATGGTCCAGTGCTTTGTACCTTAGTCAGGGCGAGAGCTCATGCAGGGATAAGAACACTGAACCAGACTTCAGCGAAGCATTCTGCGCAGCCCCTCACTCCCCAGATGCATTGTGAGAGCCCCTGCCTCCTTGTGAGCACCAGGGCCAGGACCAGGATCCCTTCTTTATACTCGGGTGATGGGTTGTTGTGGGCTTTGGAGGAATAGGTCCATCTTCTTCAGGCTTTCTGATGGAGCTCACAGGGATGGTGTTTTGGTCTTTCCTGAGGCAGACTCAAAAAGTAAAGGCAACTGAATACCAGCCTTGTTTTGTATAAGTAGCAGCAACCAGCGTAGAATTGGGAATAAAGGTAGAAGGTCATTCTCACCACCCTGTCAGGTGATTCTAAGCAGCAAGGAAGACTGGTTAAAATTTAGCTTCCAAAAACATGAAAGAAAGCCTTTTCTAGAGGACTTGCCACCCCAATACACACGCATACACACGCATACACACGCACATGCACACACACACGATCAACTTTTAGGGGCCGTTTAATTTTATAAGAGCTGGTCTGTTGGGATTTGGGGGTGGCTTCTTGCAATAGTAGCCATCCTTTTCCTCTTTCTCTTCCTCTTCTCCTTTTTCAGTGCTGGGGATTGAACGAGGGCCTTGCACATGCTCAGCACACACTCTGCCACTCAGCTATGCCCACCACCTAGGCGTTTTCTGAAGTAGTATGAAAGGCTGTGAGCTGTCTGTGGTGGCTCGTGCCTCTAGACCTTGGGAGGCTAAGACGAAAGGATCATTTGATCCGAGGAGCTTGAGGCTAGTCTTGAGACCCTGTCTCAAAAACATAAAAGATGAGCCTAGGAATGTATTAATCCATTCAGTAATTTACATCTGAGGTGTAAATGCTGTTCTACCATGCGGGTGACAGTGTCACGCCAGTTACAAAGAACCCTCAGCAGTGTAGCTCTGACTGGATGCTGAATTACTTCGTCACTGCCATTCATATTTTGTAGCCAGCTTTCCTTTACTCCTCCACATGCCTGTCACTTGCTTTCTGACCCCGAGTGTGGTGAATCCGCCCACCTGCCCACAGGGAAGCCGCTGCAGTCCCACAGCCTGTGTATGCGCATGTGTGCGGGAAGCCTGGGCCTCTCCTCCCTTCCCATGGCCCGGGCTGGGCCAGCCACAGGGTCGCTTCTGCAGCAGGCCTCACGTCCGGCCTTCAGGGCCTCCTCACCCAGGAGCACGGGCCCATTCTTTTTTTGGGGTACCGGGGATATGCTTGCACAGCAGGTGGGCGAAACGGCTGAGCTAAATCCCTGGCCCCACCCCATTCATTTTTAATGAAAACTTTATGCTAAATTTCAAACGTATGTAAAAATTAAGAAATGATACCATACACCCCCTTACACCCATCATCCAATTTCAGCCATCGGCCATGTTTCATGTGGCCCCTGTCTGTTCTCCACCCTGCTCCCCTGTGGATTATTAGGATGACATCTCAGTATCAGACATCACATCATTTCGGTCATAATGTCTCTGTGTGTATCCCTGAATGACCAGGTGTTCTAAGAAAGACACAGCCATAGGCAGTGATCACATCTGAAAAGTAATGCCAGCTCTGTAATGTAACCGAATATGCAGCCAGTGTTCAAATTTTCCTAGTCCTTATACATTTATTCAACAATTTGTTTGCATAGGATCCAAATCAGAGCCCTATGTTCTATAGGTGGTTGATAAATCTCTCAATCCCTCCGTTCTCATCTGTCTCTCTCCCTAAGGAGTTTGTACCATTAGCCCTTATTTTTCTGGTTTTCTTTTTCTGTCTTTTTTTTTTTTTTGGTACTGGGCGGGGAAGGGGGGGGATCGAACTTGGGTCCTTGTGCTTGCACAGCAGGTGGCGAAACCACTGAGCTAAATCCCCAGCCCCTATTTTTCCGGTTTTCAACCAAGGGCCTTGCCATGCCAAGCAGTAATATAACCCCAAGTTTTAAATCACTTTAGTACTTGTAAAGTACTTTGACAGACCTAACTTCCTCTAGCAGCCCCCAGGGTCTCTTTAAGGTTGAGGCATCAGCCCATTTTCCAGCTGAGTAAGCTGAGGGTCAGCCATGCAGTGAGCTTCAGAAACTCGACTGCAAACCCTACCTCAGTACCTGTGCTCGGCCAGGCTGGACTCTAGGCTCAGGTCCTCCTCCCTCCCATCCAGGGCCTCTCCTGCAGCATTCTCTGCTCCATAGTAGGCAGCACATTTCTTCCTTACCTTACACGAAATTGTAGTAGAGGAGTGTTTTCTTCTACAAAGTCAAAACAACATGGAAATGTTACCACACCCACGTCCACACCCTGTGCCCGCCTAAAATAACTGCTGCTAACCTTGCAGCCCGTTTCTGGTGTGTGGACAGAACTGTGCAAAAGACAGGCTTTTGTCTTTCTTTTTGATTTCCTTTGCTGTGTCCAGAAAAATGGGATTGAACTATCCAGACTTTCCTGCCTCTTGCTTGTTTTCATTTAAAAATTTCATCCTCAGCTGTCCATGACTGGACGTATAAATTTACATCATAATTTTCAGCAACTTTACTATATTCATACTGAGGCTTTTCTATAGTTTATTTAACTATTTCTCTGTAGAGAAACATTTAAGTTGTTTATAATTTTTAGTTATTATAGATATCATTACAATGAAATTTCCAGGCTTTGTGGTGCACACCTACAATCCCAGCACTTGGAAGGCTGAGGCACGAGGATTGCTGTGAGTTTGAGGCCAGCCTGGACTACATAGTGAGTTCAAGGTTATAGTGGAAAACCAAAATAAATAAATAAATAAATAAATAAAATTCCATTAGTAATTTATTTTTCTGTATGGCAAAGGATGGGATTCGAATTTCCTTCTGATTAGATAGCTAAATTGTTTTTAACATCATTTTTAAAAATAGGTCCTTTTTTTGCTGTTATGGAATCTGTCTTCATAATATGATATAACTTCCTTCATTTACATGGCTCTGCCTCATTCTGTTCCATTGATCTCCATTTCTATCCAAGTACCATTTTCTTGAGCTTTATTGTGTGTGTGTGTGTGTGTGTGTGTGTGTGTGTGTGTGTGTGTGTGTAAATCCAGGGCCATTCACTTCTGTTTTGTTTTGTTTTGTTTAGTACCAGGGATCAAACTTGGGACCTTGTGCTTGTGAGGCAGGTGGCAGCACCATTAAGCTAAATCCCCGGCCCTTCACTTCTGTTTTTTAAAATTGGCTCTTCCTCCAGATAAACTGTACTATCTTATTTCATTTATTTTTACCGTTTTCAGTGTGATAACCCTCAGCATGAGAGGGCCCTCCTCTTGGAGTGTGAATGCAGAATTGTCAGCTGCAGGTCTGGTGTCACCTAGCAGACCCCTTGAGCTGTTCATTCATCTTGCATGAAACTTTGTCCCCACTGAGTCCAGCCATCCTCCCTGCCCCAGCAGCTGCCCTTCTTGGGTTCAGTGAACTCAGCTGTCTTGCTCCATCCTAGGGGTTAGTGATCAGTATTTGTCCTTTGTAACCAGCTCATTTCCCTTAGTAGAGTCCTTAGGGACTTCCAGATGAACCTAGAACCAGTGTGTCCAACGAGGAGGTGGGGCACCCTTTAGAATTTTTCTTGAAGTTGCAATACATTTTTAAGTTTTGTGGGGGTTTTTGGTAGCAACTTTATTGGGGTGTAATTCACATACCAACCATCCACTCACCGGAAGTGTACCATTCAGTAGTTCTTAGTGCATTTGCGGAGCTGGGTAACTGTCTCCCAGTCAGTGTTAGGACATTTATCACTTCAAGAAGAAACCTTGGTTCTGGCAGTAGGAGTTCCATGGTAGAGCATTTGCCTTGCATGTGTTAGACCCGAGGTTTGATCCCCAGCCCTGGAAAGGAAGGGAGGAGGGAGCGAGGAGAGAAAGAGAGGAAGAAGAGGAGAGAGGGAAGGAAAGAAAGAAACAGTGTGTCCTTCAGCCATCACTCCAGCTCCCCTAAACAGCCACTAATCCATCACTGTGGGTTTGCTTTTCAAAATTCATCCGTGTTAAAGGATGTGTCAGTTCTTAATTCCCTTTTGTGGCTAACTGTTGCATGGTATTGATATTCCACATCACATTCATCTGTTCATCCGCTGATGGATGTAAATTAAGGGGGTGTTTATTGTTTTACAGTGATTGAACCGATTATGGCCTCATGCTGTCTTCCACGGAGCTGCACCTCAGCCCATAAATTACGGGCTTCTCCCTGCCTCAAGGCCCTTCTTGAACAGAGATAAAACACTGTGGGTTTCAAGAGTGGCTCTCTTGTCCTGGTAACAATGCTGCTTTTCTTCCCTCTCTAAGGGTACCACC